TATAAACAAGCAACCTATTGTTTATATATATATAAACAAAGAAGGTAATATTCTATTACTTAAATAGAGAGTGAAAGTATATTAGTGGTGTTAAGTTGTAACTCACCTCCGCATCAACAAATAGAAACATGTGGTAGGACAGTTGGGTCCTTCTGACTCACAAGTATATGACTCCGTTCGACGACTTGTATCAATGTCGTCCACCCCCTGACATCCGGTTGTACCTTTGCAATTGACAATATGTTCCTCATGATTGCCTGATATATTAAATCCGAGTTAGTAAAGAAAAAGGGAAAACAATTTTGAGCAACCTGAACTATACGTGATTTTGGGATTTGCAACCTAAATTATTTTTTTTGGTAAAATGCAACCTGAACTACATACACAATCATTATTTGCACCCTCGACCACATCTTGACCATACACGGGCCCTTTTTTGCCATTGATCGGACGGTCAAAATGTGGTCGAGGGTGCAAATAGTGATTGTGTATGTAGTTCAGGTTGCATTTTACCAAAAAAAATACTTTAGGTTGCAAATCCCTAAATCACGTATAGTTCAGGTTGCTCACAATTATTTTCCCAAAGAAAAATAAAACTATACCACTATTTTGTAAAAATTGAATGCTTTCTGATTGAGTCTCTTAAATTATATTAATGGGCTGGTATGAGTTGAGTAAGTTTTGAGCACCACCCAAAAAATCAAAGAAGGTTAGCATTATAGAGAAATACTTACACTTTTTATGTTTATAACTTTGGAATGATTTGGTGGGGTTCCTGAGGTCGGAGGATGAGTATATATAGAGGAACTGAACTATCCTATGAACAATGAATATGCACAATAGGTTGTTGCTATGCTATGTAGGTCTTTATTAGTAAAGATCTTTAAAGATTTGTCATATCTATGGCACCACTCTGCAATATATAGCTAAAGTAATATTTTGACAGATAACACGCACATTTTTTTTTCTATCCAAGACGGACCTATGGGAAATCACTTGAGCAGTTCAGTGTAATCATTTTAAAAGTATTGTAGCACAATAAAAGTATTTTTATCATTAAAACAGGTGACATCATCAGTTGTAGAGAAAAAAAAATTGAATATCGAAAAGCACGTAAGGCTAAATGATACAAAAATCGGGCATGGACAGAAAAATTTGTGATGTTCGTTATAATTTTCTTAACTAAAATTATAACTGTTAGTAAAATTTCAATACATACATATATACAACACAGAACACTCACGTTTGGTAGGGCGTCAATTATGCGCATAGGACAACATAATCTGGATCTACCTTTAGCCGTCGACTCTAACTAATATCTCGACAACATTTTCGGTCAGAAGCACCCGTTCCTTTCCGCATATCCCGCAACAGACGGCCATATCTGCAAGATTACGCCGTTGATTTGATTTTTTCATCCTTTGATGTCTCTATAATGATAAGGAACCGCCCCTCTTGTTGACCACAAATATGCTCTAAAAATGAAAGAGTTAATTTGTGCGAGAATTGTGTTGCACATTAAACCTAAATTGACGACGTCAAAACGTGACAACCTGGTTCTAGCACGGTAGAAGAGCCACCCATGATACCCGACTGCAATACACCAATGCCACCAAAAAAGGGCACGGCACACCCGTCCTCCTCATAGACCCGATAGGTACTTGTCGATGCACCACGCCCCAAACAAAACAGTGATTGAGCCCTTGCTTTTTTAAACCGCCACGTAGCCGATGCAGCCTCCCGCAACCATTTTTTTAGAGGCGACAACAGCCTGCAATCCAGAGGTGCGACCTTCCTCCATCCAAACATTCTACTGGCAGAAAAACAAGCAGACATTAGAAACAAGAAAACAAAAAGCGCAAATTAATCATAAGATTGATTTTTTTTTTTATAGCTACAATTCAAGAAGAGCAACCAACATTCAGACAGAGAGCAATGACACTACTACAAACAATCCACAATTGGTTGAACAAATTCTAACTAATAATATGTGAGTCATTGTTGAGTGTTGACAACTCACCTGTGGGCCGTGCCCAATGTCTATGAACCTCAGCCCGTAAAACCTCAGTGTATATTTTTACTCCTTCACCTTTCCTCTCAAAGCCTCGGTACTCATTTTTTCCCACCAATTGCGCTCTGCTCATCCTCTAGCAATCGTCTTTAAAATGTTGTTTGTTTTATAACACTCAAATCTGAAGTTAAGGAACCGTACAAAAACAACGCAGTCCCTTCAGTCCTTATTGAATTAGGGTTTTGGTCGCAGAGAGAGAAGGAGCAGCAGCATAGTCCGTAACAAATAGTCGAAGGACGATGTTCTATAACACTGCATAAACTCACTTGTATGGCTTCAGTGCCTATAACAGCTGCAACACAAGAAACTTTGAAATATCAGCCAAATCTGTTCACGCGCAAAATTTAGTAAAAAAAGAGCATGATAAGCAAAAACCTTGAATCTCCATGGGTGGGGTTTCGAATGGAGCAACGCAAGGCGAAGTGAAATGGCGAAAGAAGTCCTGCGATTTTTTTCTTGTAAGATTTTGTATGCTAATTTTGATATGTGTACCTTTAAATTGTTTGATGCAGAATAACAAATCTCCACTTTGTTCTTTTATTTTCTTTGAATTCAGAAGCCTCTCTCCCTTACTGTTGGAAATTGGAACATAGGTTTTGGGACCAGATAAAAGAAGCTCTGTCAAAAATTTTCCCCGTTTCTGCTTGATTGAACCTTTCTTAGTCCTTAAGATAGAAAAACGTATGCGACGTCGTTTTTCCTGGGAGAATAAACAAAAAAAAATGATAAATGACAATTTCATAAAGAAAAAGGCCTTCCACAATTGTGCGACGTGGCATCACAACAAAGTGAGAACGTCCGCCACGTGGCGACACAACAAAGGGAATACATTTTCCCTTATAAGAATAAGAGTGATAGGTGGACAGTGTTTTTAGTAGCTAAGTTTGTAGTCTTTGAAATGGAAGTCGTGGCATACTAATTATCATTAATACAACGTAAGGTTAGAATTAGTTTAAACTCACCCACTACACAAAATTTTCAACATGAAGAGGATCTGTGTCCCTTGAACAATTGATAGAAAAAAAGGTAAAATTGCATTTTATATCACGACCGTTTTTAAAATTGCACTTTAATCACGACTTTTTCACTTTTGCAAATCATATCACAATATTCAGTTTGTGGCAAATCGGTGCCATCGTGCAAACTATATCACAATGTTCAGCTTGTTGTACGAACACATAAGCTTTTCTATGACTGTTGTAAGAAACGGGAGAAAAAAATGAGTACACCCAGATGAAGCGCATCATAAGCAGGAAAGCCCATATGAATCCCAAGTGAAGTTCCATTCCAAAACCAATTGGTGGAAGGAGGAGTAACCCACTAGACTTATAAATTAGACTTATTTTCTCTATATAAATAATGTGGAACAACTCACAAGTGAATATTCTAACACGCCCCTCACTTTTGAGTCATTCATAAAAGGCCCAAGCCCATACACGGAATCGGGTGCCCTATTAGAAACGAGCTAGGTAAATGGGTACGTCATCGCACGGTCCCAATAAAACCGTCCTTCATAAAAAGTCCAAGCCCATATACGGAGTCCCGTGCCCAAGCCCTATTAGAAACGTACTGGCTTAACGAGTACGTATCGCACAATCCCAATAGAACCGGCTCTGATACCATGTAAGAAACTGGAGAAAAACGAGTGCGGTCCCACGCAGATGAACCGCACCATAAGCAATGAAAGCCCAAATGAAACCCAAGTGAGGTTCCATCCCAAAACCAATTGATGCAATGAGGAGTAGTCCACTAGACTTATAAATTAGACCTGTTTTCCCTATATAAACGATGTGGAACAACTCACAAGTAACTATTCTAATAACTGTTTCAGAACCTGTGCACCAAATTGCAACAAACTAAAAATTATGATATCATTTGCAAAGTGAAAAATTCATGTTTAAATTGTAATTTCGATAAAGATCTTGATATTAAATGCAATTTTACCATAGAAAAAATAAAGTAAAACCATCCATTTCCATCCTCATGTTTGAGTTTGACTTTGACTAATTATGAATCAAGAAAAACGGCGAAGGGAGTTTTATAAATATTAAATCAATCTTGATCAATTTAAAGATGTGACAATAGTTGTAATGCAGACACCAATAAAAGAAAGTTAACCATAAATATCATTGTAGTAAAAAAGCATAATGTAAATGAAATTAATTAATTAACGAATTAATTCAATGGTAACATATTTTAGATGACCGGAAATTAAATATTCAAAATTTTTTAATCTTTGTAATAAAGGTTGAGTATATTACTTAATCTAATGTCATAATTAAGTTTGCCATTGTTTTGATTATGATATGTAAAAAGCTATTTTTCTTTTTCCACGAGAAATATATCCTCAAAACGCTTTACAACAAAATAAATAGAAATAAAAGTATTTGTTAGGTGAGTTAGGCACTCTATTACTATAAAATAGCAATAGGGTTTTACTTTGAGTAGAAAGTAAAATCGCGCTTAAAAATTTAGATTTTACAACAATTGTAACTTTTTTGAAGTTTTTTGATAGTTAGCAACTGGTTTGTAATTTGAATTTCAAATTCATTCAGATATTTAAAGGAAAATATCATAAGCCGATTTTATTAGATTCCATTTTATTTTAACTTACATATGATCACATTCCTAACAAATATTAATTTTGCAGATACATTTTTTAATTAATCACGTTAATAAATTATATTAATATATATTAAATATTTTATCATTACATAAAAGAGAAATATTATTCCTATAAGTGTTACAAATAATAATGACATTATACGATAATAAATTTTTGAATAAAATAGTATTGAATCTTATGATGAACCGAAATATGTAAAATTATTATTTTTCTATATTAAAAAAATGTTTCAAATACCGTACCGGTGGGCATACTGGTCTAGCCACCGGTATCGGTATTACCGGTCTACTAACAAATAATATTATATATTTATATAAGATATCATATTGAAAATATAAAAAATTGAGTGATGCTAAAGAGTGAAAATGTACATTTATTAGTGCCAACTTTAGGTATACTTTCAGTTTTGGCCTTTTTTCTTCAACCAAAAAAAAAAGGAAATATCAGGTTTTTATGCATGTATGCCATTTTTTTTTTTTTTTTTTTTTCAGACTGGTATTTGGCGGTATATACGGTATGATATCGGTACAACACGGTATTATCGGAAATCCGATATTTTGAGTGTTTTTGTACTGTACTTATGGCCGGTATCTGGAATACCGGTATTTACCGGCCGGTACGGTACAGTTATTAAATCACTGTTAAAATATATATATATTAAAATATTATTTATATTAATATAATTAGGTCAACGGACTAATACACAGTTAAATTAAATTTTAAAAAAATTATTCTAAAGTACGAACCCCAGTGCATCGAACGAGATTCTCGCTGCTTAAATTTGTGGTCTCAAATTATGCTCTTCTCGACAAGCTGTCCAATCAGATGATAATGTTTTTCAATTGTTGCAATTTTGAGCATATAATTAGTTCAGTTTGAGAAAATGTAAATGTTTGTGCATTAAGCTTGTCCAATCAGATGATAATGTTTTTCAATTTGCGAGAATGAAAATTTTTGTGCATTAAATTTCAAACTCAAAAGTGATATTACATTGTAAAATGAAAAAAAAAGATATATTAATTTAATTTTGTAGCTTTATCTTTTGAAAATAAATTTAATTTTACTTATTTGGGAGTAGAATTGATGGGGGAAAAGATTGTTGGAAATAAAAAATATTTATAATTTAATTTTAGAAATTCATGTCCTTGAAAAAGCAATTGCTGTTTTCCCGCCCATTTATTGGGAGGCGGAGGGAACGTACAAATTTCACATCCTTTATAACTAACCGTCAGTCATGTGTTGTCCCCTCAACACTCAACCCTAGCTAGCTACCTACTGTACTGAGCTCTCTCTGAGCACATCTCGAAAATCGAGCTCCAAAAATGGTGGTAGTCTTGGACGAAGATGTTCAAGTAGATGCTTATCCTCTGCGGAGGACGAGTGCGAGACTAAAGCGACAAGGGCCCACCAAGAGCTCGATTGCCGCCTTGAATTACTGCCAGAAAAGGAAAGCAAATTCACCGGCGGGGAACAAAATGGTTGGCTCCGAGAAGAAAGCGAGGATTCAGAAGCTTCATCAGCCGGAACCACCTGAGCTGCGCGTTAATGGATGTGACGGTGTTGACGCTGTTCCAGCTGCGGATGGGAAGAGTGTCCGCGCCATCGTCACCGACACTCTCCGTGCTTTCAACAAGCATTTTCTCCATTTTATTCAGGTAATTTTAGTTTATTTTTTATATATTTTTTCCTTTCTCCTTCTTCTTCTGTTTGGTATTTTTTTTTTTCTCTTTTACTGGCATCTTCATTTGCTTAGAGTGTAGTGAAGTTGGTTGTTTTTTTATGTAGTATAGAGGTTAGCAATTAGCACGAAATGCGGATTTGTAATGAACTCGTAGCTCGTTTATGATTTTGTAACGCTCATTTATGAGCGTGCCTGCGTGTGTTGTGTGTTTTTTGATGCCGCATATTGGCAAGGAACTCACAATCTTTACGACTTGTCTCCCAGGAAGAAGAGAAACGTTGTGCCCTAAGAGCTGACAAGAAGAAGATTAAGAAGAAGGGTTCAAAATCAAAGGTCTGAACAGTAGATTGTAGGATTGATCAGTATATCACTTTTATGAAACTTCATCAATGCTGAATAGATGATTCTAGTCCCTTAATGCCTTTTTTTTTTTTTTTTNNNNTTTTTTTTTTTTTTTTTTTCTCACTATATCTATTTCCATTCAGCTTTTAGGATGAAGCATATAAAAAAAGTTCCTGACTTTTGATTGTAAAACATGTGCAGAAAGGGGATACATCTGAAGCCTGTACTAAACGGTTGGCCAAGCGACCTGATTTGAAAGCTATCACAGAGGTATGTACTTAGAGTATTTACAGTTTCTGTTCTGTTAACCAGTGGCCTCGTGTTCGAGCCCTGGGAATGCAGCAGTGTTAAAAAAACTCTTGAGGGAGAACTTTGCCGCCCTTGTGGTCCTACCCGGCTCGATTCCGGATTAGTCGGTTCCCCTGTGGATCCGTAAACCGGAAGGTCCCTGTACCAAAAAAAAAAAA